CCCTACCGCTCAACTCTTTCCAATTCTTTGTCCCCTTCCCATTAAAAGCTTTATTTTCATCATTTTCCCTTCAATGTTTTTTTAATCCCCTATTTATCTATTTCCTACTCTGTTCTCTGTGTTTGTATGTCTCGCTGTGTCTCTTTCTCTGTCTATCTGTCTCTCTCTGTCTCCGTGTCTCGAGTTTCTCATATATAAGAAGCCATGTAATATTTAAGCTTGTGTGTCTGACTTATTTCTGTTACCATTATGCTCTCAAATTGCACCCATCTACCTACGAATGCCTCAAGTTTATCTTTGATTATTGGAGAGTAGTACTCCACTGTGTATAACTACCACACTTTCCTTATCCATTGATCTGTTGATGTGCATGTTCGCTGTTCCCAAGATTTAGCAATTATAAATTCTGTTGCTATAAGAAGGGGTATGCATGTATCCCTGTAGTATGATAACTTTAACTCTTTGGGAAAGACATCTAGAAGAGGAATAGCCGGGTCAAATGGAATTTTTATGTTTGAGTTTTGAGGCATCTCCACACTAATTTCCATAGCAGTTGTACTAGTTTACATCCCTGCCAACAATGTGGAAGAATTTCTTTTCTCCATATCCTCACCAGCATTTGTAATTATTTGATTTCTTAATGATAGCTGTTCTTTCTGGAGTAATGTTGTTTTAATTGCCATTTCTCTAGTGGCTAACAACGATGAAGAATTTTTCATGTAGTTTTTGGTCATTTGTACTTCTTCTGAGAAGTTTCTATTCATTTCAGTTGCCCATTTTTGACCGGGTCTTTTGCTCTGGGGGAGGATTCTAATTAGTTTCAGTGTTGTATATACTCTAGATATTCGTCCTCTGACTGAGGATTAGCTGGCAGAATTGTTTTCCTCATTCTTCAAGTTGTCTCTTCACTCTCCTCTTTGTTTCCTTTGGTAGGCAGAAGCACTATTTTTTGAGACAAGGTCTCACTATGAAGTTCAGACTGACCTTGAACTCACTTTGAAACCCAGGCTGGCCTCGAACTCAATGATCCTCCTGCCTCAGCCTCCCAAGTGCTGGGGTTACAGGCAAGCACCACCATGTTCTGCTGCCAGAAGCATTTTAATTTGATATGATGTCATTTGTTGATTATTGGTATTATTTCTTGTACCGCTGTGGTTATGTTCAGAAAGTCCTTGCCTACGCCTGTTATGGTTTGTGTCTAGATGTCCCCGCAAAGCCTCATGCAGTCATGAGAAGTCTTCTAGAGCTTTTATTGACTCATGATCCAATGGGATTATGGGTGTGAGTGGTATACTCATGGTCTGATGGGATTATGGGCGTGAGTGCTGGGATTAAGGGTGTGAGTGCTACACCCACTCTGTACTGAGTGTAGCAGGGTGAGTATCCTGCATACAATATAAAGGAGGGAAAGAGCCATGCTGCTACTGCTCCTCCCTTTTTGCTCTTGCTGCTTTTGCTGTGTTTTCTGCCATGAACTGCTGCCCTCTGCCATGTGCCACCCTGCCTTGGAGCCAGCTGAGTATGGACTGAAACCTCCACAAACTGTGAGCTAAATAAACCTTTCCTTCCTTAATTCTGAGTGTCAGGTATTTTGTCTCAGCAATGAAGGAAAAGTAACCAAAACAATGCCTATGTCCTCAAGAGTTTTATGTATTTTATGTTCCAGCAGATTGTTTCTGTTTTAACATTTAGATCTTTGATCCATTTATATTTGAGTTATGAACATAATAAGATATGTGGTTCTAGACCCAGTCTTCTGCGTGTGTATATCCAGTTTCCTAGCACGATTTATTAAAGAAGCTATCTTACTTCCAGTGTTTTTTTTCCCTTTGTGAAATATTAAAGAGTTGAATGCACCTAGATTTATTTTGGCTTCCTCTGTTCTGCTCCATTGATCCACGTGCACGTTTGTGTGCCAGTACCATCCTGTTTTAATCACAGTAGATTTGTAGTATAATGTCAAATTGAGGATTATGATGTGTCCTGTTTTGCTTTAGTTATCCAGCATTGTTTTTGCTATTCTGGGTCTCTGCTGATTCCATATGAATTTTAGGATAGTTTTCTCCAGATCTGTCAGAAATGCTGTTGGTATTGCACTAAAATTATACATCAGTTTGGAGAGTATAGCCATTTTAGTTATCTTGGTTCTGCTTATCTAGGAACAGGGCATGGTGATAGTGGACATCCTTGTGTTGTTCCTGGTTTTAGAGGGGAAACTTTCAGGGTTTTTTTTCCTGTTTAATATGGTGTTGTCAGTAGGGTGCTCATGCATGGCTTTTATTAGATTCCGATAAGGTTCTTTGTACCTATTTTCTTCAGCTTTTTAATATGAATGGATGTTAGATTTTGTCAAAGGCATTTACTGCATTTATTGACATGATCGTGTCATTTTTGCTGTTTATGTAATGAATTCTTCTGTTTATGTGATGAATTACATTTATTGATGTGAGTATGTTGAACCATACAAGCATCCCTATGATAAAGCCTACTTGGTCATGGTATGATGATATGATCATGATGGCATGATATGATCTGTTTGATGATTTTTTTGCATTCTGTTTGCCAGTAACTTGTTCAGGAATTTTGCATTTATGTTCTTTACAGAGAATGGCCTGCAATTCTCTTTTTTATTAGATCTTTGTCTGGTTTTAGTGTAGGAGCACTGCCAGCTTCCAAGAATGATTCTGGGAGTACTCCTTACCTCTCAGTTTCATTAAAGATTTTGAGGAATATTAAATTGGGAAATGTGGACATGGCCTGGAAGAGGATATAAATATAGCCCTTTTCCTCCCTTGATGGCACGACTTGCCACACCATGGATTGTTTCTCCTCTGCATGCCCCTCTGCCGGGCTGGCTGCCTTAGGATCAGCTGAGTTTGGACTGAAACTTCTTCAAACTGAGATAAAATAAACCTTTCCTCCTTTTACTTCTGGGTGCTGGGTATTTTGTGGCAGCAACAAGGAAGTCACTAAGACAGATTTTCTTACCAGAGAAATGGGAGTGATACTACCTGACCATGTGGTTCAGAAGCCTTTGCAATGGGCTTATGGGGACACTTTTAGAAGAGTTTGGAGATTCTGGTTGAAGAAGCAGCCTTAGAATGCTGAGAGCTCAGCTTGATGGGAGATTCTATATGGAACTCAGAAGACTAGAATACTCACAGAAATCAGCTGGTAAAGATGAGGTTCAGAAGATTTCAGTTGGGAGCAAGGACAACATTGGCAGTTGAACTCCAGGCCATGAGTGCTATGCTTTGGCATAAAATTTCTATTTTGTTCATGTCCAGAGACATTGTGGGAGACTGAGATTTGTAGTAGTAGACCAATTAATCTCGTAAAAGAAATTTCAAGGCAGTCTAATGTTGAGGCAGAGGTATGGCTATTGTTTGGGGATTTTATATCAGTCTGCTCTGGAAATTGTTTTCTTTTAGGATTTCAAGCACTTCTTTCCAATTTCTCCTTGCTTTAAGTTTTTATTGAGAAATTTGTTGTAGTTCTGATAGTTTTTCCTCTATAAATGATTCATTCTTTTCACTAACAGCTTTTAAGATTCTGTTTTATGTTGGATATCTGGTATTTTAATTATGATGTGAAGTAGAGTGTTATTGTTCTGATCATGGCTACTTGAGTTTATAGATCCCTCACTTTTCTGCATGTTAAATTGTTTCTCCATGTCTGTAAGGTTTTCTGCTACTGCTTCTGCAAACCGGTTTTTATGGCCTTTGTGCTGTCTTCTGATTTTTCACTAATACTGGTCACACTTACATTAGTCTTCTTTCCATCATTTAGCAACTGTTGGATCTTTTTCTCATATACTTTGATTGTTTTTAAGGTTCTTTCATTATATTTGACACTCTGCCCTCATATTGTTTGCTCCCTCTACTCAGACTTTCAACCATATTTTTTAGACATTTTGGTTTTTGGTGCCAGGAAGTGAACTCAGGACCTTGTGATTGCCAGGCAGGTGTTGTGCCACTGAGCTATCTCCCCAGCCCTTCAGTTATGTTTTCAATCTCCTGGATTTTTGTTTGGAACTTTTATATGGATTCTAATTGTTTCTTATGCTGGGCATCCATGTTTTGCATCTCTTTCTTTAACTCCAGTAGAATTTTATTGTTGTCTTCTCTCGAATCACTTATTATTTATTTTATTGTGATCATTGTTTAGTTATACCTTATTTGAATTTGAATTTGCTAAGCACCTCAGTTATCTATCTTGTTTGCTCCACTGATATCCTTTCAGATATTTCTGCTGTGTGGGTTTAGATTTCTTTCTGCTCAATGCTCCCTGGATTGGTTTTTGGAGGAATTTTATTGCTTTGTCTAATGTTTCTCTTTGTTTGTTTGTTTTCTGTGCTTGGGATTACTTGTTGAATATAGTGGGGAGCTTTGCTGCAGAGATATCCTCTGAGTATGGCTAAATATCAGCCTCTGCTTCTGCCCCAGGATCTAGCTACCTCTGTTTATTTGGGAGAAGTTTACAGCTTATTTGGCCCAGTACCCAGTTTTTCAAGAATGGGTCACAGTATTGCTCATAACCCTCAGCCATTTCAGATTTTGGTACACAACAAATCAATTGACAGCAACAACTATGTCACCTTGACTAGTGTAGTATAATCAGCAGCAACAATAGCATCAAATGTAAACCGTATACTGCAAACACTGAAAGCCACTTAAGAACCTCCCTTAACAAAAGCAAAGAGATCTATGATTTTAGTACAGACACTTAGGAAACCTAAATATTGATCTACAGTAAATCAGACCACTGGACTCAACTAGATGTAGGCAGTATTGCAGAAGCATAAGCAGACTGCTAAACTCATTGCCATCACCTTCAGATCCAGCCCCCTCTGAAGGTTACACCCACCAAACCTGGCCTCCCACCACAGAATGCATGCCCTGTGACCTTCCTGACCTGAGCCTCAGCTTCTCGTGGACTCTCAGGGGATCTATGTGTAACCTCCACCCTTTCTGAGACTGTGGCTCACGTCTGTCTCTCACCTGGTCTCTGTTGTACAGCAACACTTCAGTCCCAGAGTCAAGCTGTCCTCCAGGGAGTTGGTCTCATCCTCAGTTAGACTGGTCTTTCGGCTGTCACCTCTTCCATCCTGTGCTGAGGAAAACCAACATGCATTCCCCACTAGAAGTTGGTATTTCGACCCCAGTGGCAGTGCAGTGTGCAGATAGGTTGCTCTTCCTTCCCGCACAGTGCAACACCATTCAGCCATTTTTTGCTAGAAAGTTTGAAGGCTCATCCATGCTGATAGACATACTGATAATTCTTTTCTTATATGAATATATCTAATTTATATATCTGTCTCCCATTGAGGTAGTGCTTAGGTTACTTACAACTTTTTGCTATCACTTGTACTAATAAAATGAACATTCTAGTCCATATCTCCCATGAGGATGTGCAAGAATTTTTCTAGGGAATATACTCAGGGGAGGAACAATGTGCTTTTAAGCTTTTCAAAGAAAGTAACAGATCGGGAAGAGACTTTGATCATTGTGAACTGTAGTTTCCATCAGAAAGATTTTCAGAAATCTTTGCCCCTTAAGCGTGTTAATCCTGCCTTTCTCAGAACAGTAAAATATGATATTCAGAAAAACTGGATTTTAAAATTGGTCTGACCTTGAGAAGACCAAAGACATCCTTAAAATTAAAGAAATTCACCTTAGAAATGGCTACAGAAAATAACACCAATTACTTTTTAAAAAATCTCTCAGAAGGTAAAGTGAAATACATTTTAAAAATGTCATTCTGAGTGCTTTCTGGAAGAATTACTTTTTCATAGATGTAATGAAAATATACCTACATAAATCAGTCACTAACTGATTTAATGTATACTCAATAAGGTATAATCAATAAAGATCATTGGTGAGTACATATTCAGCTGCCAGTCATAGGTCAAGAGACATGTGCAATGAAAAGGGTTATTTTGCATGTTCAGTTTAGATTACTAATTTCAAGCAATCACCAGATAAATGAACAATCTGAGAAAGCAAGATTGATTTCCCGCTCTCAAAGATGCTGAGAAACAAAAAGTCATTGTGAAAATATTTGTTTTGTTTTTTTTTTTTTTTTTTGGTTTTTCTCCGGTACCGAGAACGGAACTCACGACCTTGCGCTTGCCAGGCAGGCGCTTTGCCGCTGAGCTAAATCCCCAGCCCTGTGAAAATATTTGAATGAGAAAGCAAAATTCTTCTAGAACATGTCATATACATTTTTGGTAACCCACTAATAGGAACACCCTGTGGCAGAATCTATTATTTGTACAGGTAGTAAGTATTCCAGATTAAAATATTAAGGACATACTTAAAGATGAAATATGAACTCCTTTGGCACTTAGAACCCTTCAATATTGTCATATGAATGATTGGAAGGTATTTCTCAAATGAGAAGGCAAGATTACAAAAAACTATGATAACAGCCTGGCAATATTTTTTTCTGGACATTGAAAGATTCTGAAAGGTATATGCTAAAATAATGGGCTGCTCTCTAAGCCGTGAGATTGTGAGTGTTTTAATTTTTGATTTTTTACATATATAATCTAATTTTTCTACAAAGTTAAATATTAAATAAAAAATAAAAAATTAAATACTAAGTTACATAACACATTGAAATTTTGTGCATAGTGGGAGAATAAAAAGAATCTTGGCCTCCTAAGTCAGCATTTCTCAAGTGCAGTCTCTTGATTCTCAGTATTGTTCTTCCTGCTTATCTTCACTGCGTCAGATCCAGCCCTCTGGCTGTGCGTCCTTTCAGAAGCCAGTGTGATAAAGGGTAAGAAATGGTGAAGGACAGCCTTCTCTGCTCTGAATAACAAAGAGGGCTTATGAGAAAGATGGAAGAAGCAGGTCAGCAGTAAGGAGGGGGTTCACATCGCAAACTAAGAATGCTCCTGAAGTACTAAGTGCCAGTCCAGCTACCACATTATTTCCACACCAGCAGATGCTTCTCTATAGCAATTTACCTCATCCAAAGAGTCTGTATTCCTATTCTTTCTTACAAGAATTTACAGCTGGCAAGTCAAGTCCCCTCATATTACAAATGAATAAATGTCCGTAGTGCAACACCAAGAAATTGTCTGTCACGAAATGGGTGAAAAGATAAAGCATTTGGCTACAAAATGTGATAGTTAAGGTTCAAATCCAAGTGTGTCACTTTCCAAGCCTTTGTTTACACAGCAGTAAATGGAACAATCTTATTTGATTGGACTGAGGGTGAATGAGATAATATAAGTAAAAGCTTCAATGTACATTGTTGGACACATAGTATATACTCAATGGATAGAAATATTATTATTATTATTAATATGTTTGTGATATATTTTCACTACTTTAACTACATCAACTTCTCTAGACTCTTGTTTTAAGAACCTCATTTCTGAGATCACTTCACGTTTTCTAAATTTTCTGGTCACGACGGACAATCAAATATTACTCATTAACCTTCAGCACCCTTTGTAAGACCTGTCACTTTCCAGCTGACATACTGATACTTGCTCTAATTTTAACTGTGATACAACCATTGCAGTTCTTCTCTTTCAAAACGTGTCATTTGTAGCCACTTGAGTACATCCTGACACCCTGTGATTTTTGAAGTCAAATAAATAATTGTTCAATTTCCCCCTGAGCTTTGATGAAATGTGAAAATCATTATAGAAATTTATGAGAACTATGCTAGGTTCTTGTCTGTAGCTCACTACATCACCCTTACCCTTATTCCTAGTCAAACCCTGGGGGATTTAAGTAGCATGTTTTGACCTAAATTCAGATTTTAATTATAATAGTTAGGATACAATGTCGTTCACTGACTGTTTACTCTAGCTTGGAATTAATTTGGGTGACCTAGTCAGTACCAATTAAGGTCAGGGGAGTGTGGATAGGAAAAATACTGTGATAATTTAAAAATATATTATTGTCCAATACCTTCAATCATTTCCCTAAAACAGTTCTTCAGATGATTTTAAAATATCACATTTTATGATTAAAATCAGTCTTCTGCTCTCATCCTTGCTTAGCTGCACTCTAATCCGAATTCCAGCTCATGGGCTGGAAATGCAGTTCAGTAGTAGAGCAGGTGTGTAGCATGGGCAAGGGGCTGGATTCAATCTCCAGCAGGGAAAAAACGATTCTAGCTCACAGTCACATGTACAAAATGTGTATGGCGGCCAAAAAGAAAGGAGCAATCCAAAAGAGGCATTGGACAATCCATCCACAGTCACAAAAAATAAACATTGACTGCGTTGCAATGGAGAAGGCCAGACCAAGCATCCCTCTAGGCATGTGCCACAAACTAACTACCCTTATGTCCTAATGAAAGAAAAATAAAACTGTCCAAGAAACAGGTGCAGCCTCCTATAGAGAAAGCATAGCATCACTTCCAGAGGACTTACATGATTCACAAAGTCAAATTCCTTCTATAACTGGAACTGCATGAATGGCCTAAAATAAAGTACCTCTTTGGTAGTGCCTAGATTACAAAAAAGAAGAAAAAAAGTGCAACCACAGTGAAAAGAACTTTACAGTACATCTGCAGACCTGTGTGATGATTCCAACAGTTCCACTGACCACGTAGTTTTAGGAAAGTCACTGTGCCTTTCAAAAATCTCAGACTTCCGGCATGTAAAAATGGAGACACACCATGGAAATAAGGAAGGTGAAAGTGCTTTGACAATTATTAAGTGCTATGTAAATGATAATGTAAAACTAAAATGCTCTAAACATTTATTTTATAATCATCACTGGTGAGAGATAAAGAAGAAGCTCTAAAGTTGATCTCTGTCCCTAAGGTGGAGAAAGAAGATGGCTAATGTCAGTAGTATAGCTACCCCTCAACACTAGACAGCATGTAAGTGGCCAGTACTGTGAGTGAGCAAAATATATTTATCAACATCATCATCTTGACCCCTGTGGTAGCACTGGGAGGAAAATGGAATAGAATTCTTACTACTCGGCTCATTTGACAGTTCAATCAGAAGAACAAATTGCTTGCCCTCCCTTGTTTCATAGCAGTTCTGGGGACTGAATTTAGGGCCTTCACACTGAGCTATAATCCAAGCCTTTTTCAAAATATTATTTTATTTTGTGCCATGGTTTTGCTAAGTCACTAAGTTATCCAGGCTGGGCTCAAACTTGTGATCCTTCTCCCTCTGCCACTAAGAGTGCTGAGATTATAGGCATATGCCACCATTCCTGGCTTCTTCTACCTCACGATGAAGTACTCTTTCTCTCTCCTCATATAGCCAGGTTAAGAAGAACAGGCTCTATAACTTCTGCCGAAGTTCAGAGAAGAGATTAATAATTTATAAATAAAAATATAACAGTTTCTATGAAGGAGACACTCCGGAAATCTTGATAGGATTTCAGTGGGCTGAGAAGCTATGAGAGAGTATTACCATTATAATTGTCTGGGGCCAAGGAATCTTTAAGCCTAGTCAGTACCAAAGGAGATCCAACAGAATTTTATATTGTTCCATTCACATTCTGATTTCTACTCTGAGAATCACTGCACTGTGGAGTCCAGTTATTAAAGGGGATGCTCTACCTTTAGGTCTATTAAGACAGAAAAAAATGGAACTTCCTAATTACAGTCCAACTCCGTTTTTTTGTCTCTTTCGCCTGTATACCCTTTGTCATTAAATGTTTGGCTCCCTTAGCTCGTAAACTTGGACATTTCACAATAGTAAAAGCAACTTTATTCCATTGACAAAAATATTAGTGAAGATCCATATGAAAATTATTAGCAGAACTTTCTGAGATTATTGATACAGTATTAAGTTAATGAAGCCAAATGATCTAATGTTTTCAAATGGCTTAGGACTCTAAAAATTCTAGAACCTCTCTTTAGAGATTAATGATAAATTAAATGGAAGTGGAAAAAATATGAGCAATACTGTAAGGATTCATGATCCTTCAGTTCCGCAACTAAATTTTTATGCAGAGACATAATTACATCTCTAAGAGAAAGCAAAAGTCTACCGCATTTATTTGTTTCTAGGGGCTGTGATGGAGATATTTAGCAAAACGCACATGTACATCTGAAAATTCCCATAATGCATCATTGCTAGACTCAACAAACCAAGCCCAATTCACTGCACCACAGAACCA